TGCTCTGATAGGAAGGGTCTAATCTTCCTAATGTTGTATAAGGCAAATCTGCAGGACCAGGCCATTAGAGCAATACGGTCTGTGAAGCTTAACTGATCATCAATCACAACTCCAAGGTTCCTGGCTGTACTGGAAGGAGTTATGGTTGACAAACCTAGCTGTATAGAGACGTTGTGATGAAGTGCTGGGTTGGCTGAGACCATGATTATTTCTGTCTTAGCAAGGTTGAGTTGAAGGTGATGATCCTTTATCCAGTCAGAAATGTCTGTCAGACAGGCTGCAATGCAAGCAGCTACTGTCGGAATGTCTGGTTGGAATGAGAAGTAGAGTCGAGTGTCATCAGCAAAGCAATGATAGGAAAATCCATGCTTCTGAATGACAGATCCTAAAGATGACACGTGGAGAAGAGAAGTGGTTCAAGTACTGAGCCTTGAGGAACCCCAGTAGCAAGAAGTTGTGACTTAGAAACCTCACCCCTCCAAGACACCCTGAATGACCTACCTGAGAGGTAAGACTTGAACCACTGGAGTGCAGTTCCTGAGATGCCCATTTTCATGAGGGTGGACAGGAGGATGGCCACTTTTGAAGTCAGATTGGTTGTTGTCCAGGAGATTGTTCTCTGCAAGAAACATAGAGAGTTGGTTGAACACATCTTGCTCAAGTGTCTTTGCAATGAATGAAAGAACAACAAGAGCGAGTAACCTCGTTCTATAGTCTGCAGAACTCAGCTTGACACGCTGGGGATGGCTTCCCAAGCCTGGAGCCGGGCGCAAGGGATCTGAGCTTTTTGAGTGTCAGTTCGCTGTACGGGGGCAGGGAACTGACATTCGTGCTGTTGTGAAGAGGAAAAGTGCTTTTTTAAGTAGGTGGGTCTGCTATCACAGCGTTAATTTGCTCGGGCACATGCTGAGTGGAAAGGACAGGCACAGCATGAACAGAACTTTACTTAAAGGCTAAGGCAGGAAGTGGCGCATGGCCTGCAATTACTTATTTGCTGCAGTGATGCGCTCTGTGCTTGAACTTCCAGGAAGAACTGTGATATCTTTGGTGGGAGATTCGCTTATGATGTCTTGGCAGGGACCATTCGTATAGGCGGCTGCGGGCAGGATCTTCTGGAGCCGACCGTTCTAAACTGAGTTCCTCCACAGCCTTGGTGAGGATGCAAAACAATTTGTTGTCCACGCCGACCCATGTTGACTCTTTAAGGGGAAGGGTGCCGGTATCCTCTCCAGAGCACATACAATCCTCTGCATCTGAAGCTGTCAGTGACATGGAGTCGTCAGCGACAGCTTCCTCCTCAGATCCACCGAAGGAGACCAAACTCCTCACTGCAGATGAGGGCACTGATCCTCACATGAGAAGTGCACTGGTGAATCATAGTCTCGTGAGGAGAGTGAAGCATGTGGGACCTGTGCTGGCGTGAGCACACTCGAGCCCGATAACTCAGCTCTGTGACTCCGCTGTTTCTTCCTCCTAGGCTCCTGGGAGGGGAGAAACAGGAGAGCAGGAGGGGCGGGGCTGCCTTCATTGAAGAAGGCGATCCGTGAGCGAAGCAGGGCAATACTCAGGTTCTCGCAGTGAGAGCAGTCTGTCTCAGCAAGCGCAGCCTCAGTGTGGGCAACACACTCACTGTGCCCATCTGAAGCATGCAGGGGTGCCCTGCACGAGCCACACTCATGGCGTGTCATTTGCAGTGGTGCAGCTGAAATTTGCTTCTAGGAAATCGCTCTTTGTGTTTGCTGAATGGCTGCAGGGGAGAAGCACTTAAGAGGAGCGGCTTTCTGCTGCCAGGACTCTTCTATGGTGAGTAAGCAGGCTTCTTCATTCTTCTTCTTCAGTGTCCAGCAAAGAGATCTTTGCACTGAAAGAAAAAATTGATTGTAAGTTCTGGCGGGCTGAAATTTAATTTGTTCATGCAGCTACATGAACGTGAACAAATCAGGATTCAACATTCAGACTAACAGGAGTTTTCCCATAAGCATGTTTACGCAACGTGGGAGACCATTTTCGAAAGACAAAATTTAGGAAAACTGACAGCATCATATGGCCAACATTGATTATGTATGGGGGTACAATTGTTGCACAATTCTAAATAAATAGATTATGATCCACAAATAAATGTAAAGAGTTTAACAAAAATGAAACATATTGACAAATAAATACAATGAGATCCACAAATAAATCTTAGAGCTTCTCAAGCATGAATTAAATTCACAAAAAAAACAAAAAAAAAACATTTGCAAATAAAAAAAACATATCCACAAATATCTTCGTATGTGACAAACACAACTTTGCCTGGCATTCATTTGTGAATCGCGTCCTGTATATTTGTAGTAGAGACCTGTGCGGGACGGATTTTTCAGTCCCGCTCTCACCCGCTCCCGCAAGATTCCGTCTATATCTTTCTATCTTTTTCTATTTCTATTCTATATCTTATCTGGTCCCGCTCCCGCCCGCAACATTCATGTTTTGTCCCGCCCACAAAAGCCGGCATAAAAGTAGCCTATATAGATTTTTTTCAGCACATCGATGAAATTTACATGAAATAGCTCTGTAACATCTCGTAAGTTCCACAACATCCCAGCATAAATAAACACTCCCATTAAAATATTTGTTATTTAGGCTAAGCATCAACATTCACGAAGCACTGTAACAGAAAAGCAAGCACAGGCTGCTCCGTGCATGGTTTGGCATGACAGCGCTCCCTTATTATCACTAAAAAGCTGACATCTCAGTTAATTGCGATCTCATAAAGCTCTGTTATAACACAATGAATATATGCACAATGAATCTTTCAAAATGTCTACAACCCGTGTGTTAATAAGACGATTCGTGAGCATGCAATATTCAGTATTGCGCAAGAACTTTTGAGCAGTGAGTGGATTCTAACTTAACACCTTTGATTGGCAATTGCGTTGCAGAAACCAACAGATATGTCTGTGATTGGCTACACTGCTCATGCTGCAAATGTGTTTTAAATCGAAAATGCCTATTCTTGCGCCTGTTAATCATTTTTATGTTATATTAGTTGTTCTTGTTGCTTTTGTGCAATAGATGAATAACAATTTATATGTTTTTTAGATATTTTATGTTTAGATATTTCTATTTTGCGGGAGTCCCGCAAATCATTTTAATCTTCCGCATCCCGCGCACACACAAGTCTCTACCCGGGCGCCGCACCTACACTCGCCCATGAAGTTTTGTCCTATGCCGCACCCTGTTGCATTGGATCCCGCGGGTCCCTGCAGGTCTCTAATTTGTAGATCGCTGCACACATTTGTGGATTGCTCGCTGTGCATTTGTGAATGGCTTTCTGTGCATTTGTGGATCGCTGTGCGCATTTGTGCAAATGCGTGGATTGTGGATGTACCAGGATCAGTGAATGAGGATAAATTTAGGATTATACACAACACAACTGGGTAGCAGCCTCAGCATCATTGCAGTGTGTACTGGGGATTTGTGAGTGGACGATGTACATAAAAGCCGTGCATTTACTTTGGATGCTGTTAAGTAACTTTTACAATCAAAACTAGTAAGTCTGATTCATATGAAATATTGTTTGAGTGATCAAGTGTTTTAACCAATAAATCTCGTCTTACATTTATATGCATTTATATTCAACACACCTGCACCACATTTAAAAAAGAACCCATATATATTCATTTCCTGCCCAAACAATGGCAACTTTGTAATACTTTTAATTAATGTTTGAAAATATTATTTATAACGCTTTAAACATTGTTAGATCTACATTGCTGTTCATACATCATTTAAACGGCTTGACTGAAAAACTGGGAAACCCTGCTGGCTGTTGTGTGACGGCAATTTAACATATTACACATTTTAAATATCTTTTACTATACCAATTTTTATGGCCCTTATATTTCCTGTTTGAGCCAAAAGAGTAGAATGAAGTTATTTCAGGACGAGACCGCCCTGATTGTAAAGCAAATCGTGATTGGCTATAGCGAGAATGTGCTACGATTGGTCAGCGAAGTGAGGCTGTTATCTGATTGGCTTGAGTAGACGGTGGGTGGAGTCCACGCATTTGTGGATTGTCAGTGTCTTGACGCTAAAATATGTTTCAAAATCGACAAATGCACAGCGATTTACAGATACACAGGAATGCAATTCACAAATAAATGCCAGGCAAAGTTGTGTTTGTGACATAAGAAGATATTAGTGAATATGTTTTTTTATTTGCGAATCTCATTTTATGTTTTTTTATGTTTTTTTGTGAATTTAATTCATGTTTGTGAAACTTGTGGATCTCATTCTATTTATTTGTCAATATGTTAACTTTTATTAATCTCTTTACATTTATTCGTGGATCATAATCTATTTATTCGGAATTATGCAACAATTCTACCCCCGTAATTATGTGGTAATTTCACAAGAAACGTGAAGAAATGCTAAAAAGCTGGGTGGGAACTCGTGAATGAACTGAAAGACTGAACCGTGTTCTCAGGACGAGAGGATTTTTCATCAGTGGCATGTTGGAAAATATGTTAGGGGAAAAAAATTTCACTAAAATGTTTTTTTTTCTTTTCCCAGTATATTTTACATTTATTGTTGTTTGATGAACATCATAATTGTTCGACATATTACATTTAGCTGAAAAGCTCTTTGTGACAACATGCTTCAGTTTTTTTTTTTTTTTTTATTGAACATGTTTTTTTTGTGCAGTGGAAATATTCAACAGATCTTTTTGTAGTTTATACTTTACGGTTTATATCTGTAAAAAAAAAAAAAAAAAAAGGAAAAATAATGGCAACTAGCTCTGGTCTCTTCAATATACTTTTTTTAAGTACCAGAGTTATTGTTGTTACTAAAACTATAAAATGTTTTTCATTAACAAAGAAAGAAAGAAAGAAAGAAAGAAAGTAAGTAAAAAAAGCCCTGCAACCAAATTAAATAAGGTTAATTTGAGTCACTAAAAAAAATGAAAGTAAAATGAAAGTGAAAACTGATAAAAATGTAAATTTTAAATTAATAATAATAAAAAAGTATACATTATAAATAATACTAAAATAGCACTCTTCAGTACCTTTACAAAACGGCATGATAACATGAAAATAATGTGGCGTTTATCAAATGGAACAGGCGTGTGGTAATTCATATCCCAGCATGGCCTTTGAACAAATATTGTTATCATTAGTGGCTGACAGGGCTAATTCAATAATCAACACCTTTCAGAGATTCATCTTCAGCACACGCCACCTGCTAACATGATCAAACAGATTGAAGGTTTGATGTGGATCTGCAGATTTCACATTTAATGCCAAACCGAGTCTCTCGCCTGCTCGGGTCTTAATGATGAAGAAAAACAGTCATGGTACAAATAAATAATAAAAAAAGACTATAGCAGAAGAATGCAGTGAGTGAATGGTATATGAATGATCTATGACAGAGCGGTCATGGTCCAGACGTCTCTCTCTCTCAGACAATGAGAGATTCCTCAGAGCGACTGTCATGGTAAGACTCACTGCTTTTAAACAATCCTCCACAGAGCCGCTCTCATCCGCACACCTGACTGGAGCCAATTAAAAGAGCAGCTCATCCGTCATTTGATGAAAACACTTCTGTGAGAACAAGGACGCTGCAGGAGAAACTCTGTTGTCAATCAGTGATCTTTCACTATTCATCAGATCCACTCGTGCATTTATAAGAGAAGCAGGAAAAACACAGTGATGAGCTTCAGGAGACGCTGATCCATGACCGATCATTCAATCTCATCAGTCCATTAAACAATCATGACATCCAGCATTCTATACACTGCACACACGAATCAATGAATTCACAGACACACGGGAGAAAAAACACTTTTTGACTCTCAGTTTGGATAAATCCACATGGGGTTCAGATAAAAAAAAAAAAATTTTCAGACATTAATTTCACACTTGTCTGGTACAAATATGTAGCTTGTTTCATAATTACAGTGCATATTTGTTTTCTTTATTTACCCCAAAAGAATGGAAGTGAAATGGGCACGTCATAACATCTGGCACACTGTGACATAACCTGATAGCTTAAAATATTATTTTATTTCAAATAAAATAATGGTGTTTTTAAGAATTAAAATTAAACTAATTTTGGAATTTGACAATGAATACATTGCAACCAGGGCCCCATGCTTGGGATGGCCCAGATCCCAACACACAGCTATACAGCTCAAAACAATGTGGGCAAATAGATGAGAAACATATCCAGAAAAACACAGAGATGAACACAACAACTCTCACAGAACACGAGACAAATAGACCAGCCGGAATGCTTTTTCCTGAAATAATCATATCTGAACATTGAACACTGACTCTCGGCCTTTATCACCCATTTCAGCGATATCTTCAAAAGATTTTTGAATTTTGGCCCAAATGTTTAAACCATAATATTTTGATATTCCATTCATCAAATGTGCTCAGATGAGATTCGTTGCCATCGATGGTCAAGAGAACAAAATTTAAGGTCATCTTACCCAATATAAAATGATATACAGTCAAACCAACATTTATTCAGGATAGAAAAATAAAGTAAACTGTGACATATTATACCCAGAAATTATATACCCAGTAAAATTAATACAAATCTGGGACCAAAAATTATTCAGACACTTTGAGCTGACCATGTTTTGCTTAAGTG